ATATATATATATATAGTTTAACATCAATAAATGAAGTGTTTGCCTTTCGTCTTACATTACATGTCTTGAATTGCTTTCGGTTTTTATTTTTTTTCTTTATCTACAATCTCTTCTGAGAATCCATTAGTGCAGGATATGGTGCAGCCAAATATGCTCCAGGCCATTAAGGGGTTATTGTTTATCGGTAGCGTGTAATTCATAACTGAGTCATAGTAGTGTATTTTGGAGAGATGTATTGTCTTGACAAGTTACTCTCACGTGTCTCAGAACAAGTCTGAGAGGCTCTCGACCAGTTAGTTCACTTCCTCTTAGCTGGCGGTGTTTCCAGTTGGGTAATACCTCCCGTTTATTTCAGGGTTTGCTTCAGTTCCTGTTACTTGATGGCTAAAATACAGAGTTATTGAGGGGAAAAATGCGTTGCTGGTGGTACAGTCGGTGTTATCAGACATAATAAAGGCGATTTTAATTATTTAATCGTGCGCAACTGGATATCTCACTGCTCAAAAAGTGGTTTTGTCTTTTTTCTTCTTTCTGGTAATGGGATGAAATAGATAAAAGAAATGTTTTTATTTCTAGCCCTATTCATCCTGGCTGCAACCCCCTCCATGTGTAAAGGTAAGTAAACCTCTTATATTTGATATTTGACTTGCCAGAGACTGTGATTTCTGGGAAATGTTTGTTTTGGTTTCATAACATAATGTTTACTGAGGTTAACATGGGTTTATCAGCACAAGTGTCGGACTGTAGCTAGAAATATTTTTCGAAAGTCACATCATGTAATTCCTTTCATTCAATCAGCATTTTATATCATAAATATGATTATTATTTACAGTTACAGAAGGGCCCTGAAGTCTGAGTCTGAGACTAAAAACTGTTAATTTACATCATAAGCTGAATTAAAATCCATATTATTTTATACACTATTTTACCTTGTATATACTATTTATGATTCTTATTTAAGACTATATTATTTAAAATAATCACAAATCTAACTTGGAATTGAGAACTGACATTTAAATATGCAATAACAATGTATAATTTGTCCCTTGGTCCAAAACAACTGTGAAGTCAAATGATATGCTGTCTGTTGCCTGATAAAGCAGATCTTTTTATCCTGCCGTGGGCGTTTCTTTGCTTTTGGGGCTGTAATTAAGTAGCTTGCAATGCCAATGTTTTCACTATGCAATCTGAGGTCTTCCAATTGCTCCTTCAAATGGAAAGCTTTGCACCTGCAACCGTTTGTGAAGCAGCAAAATCCGTCCACCAGCGTCTCTAAAACTATAAACCTTGCTGTTTCCACCTGATTCCAGTCTTTGTGCTAAGCTAAGCTAACCTGCCAACAGACTTTAAAGTGATATCAATCTTCTCATCTTACTCTCAGCAAGACAACAACCAAGTGTATTTCCTAAAGTGTCAAACTAGAATACATTTCCATTGTTAAATATGAACATTAACATTACCGTTTCCTGAAGGCCAGCATGAGAACAACTGCAAAGTTCTCCCTAAAGATCTATACATTGAAGTGGGATCCGATACTGAGATAGTGTGCCAGACTTCATGTGTCTCTGGCAAAATCTTCTGGAGACTGAACGGCAGACGCATAGATGAAAGCCAGTCAAGCGCTGTCAACTCCTCACACACAGTCCTCACGCTAAGGAACTTCACCCGTCAAAGGGCTACACTGGAGTGCTGCAGTGCAAATACTGACCTAGTCATTGGAGGCACCACAATCCAAACGTACTGTAAGAATTGTATTTTCGGTTCTTATATACACTTGATATGGCTGTAGATGCTTGCAATACATTTAAATGCAATGCAGTAATGTTGCTGATGTGCTTTTTTTTTCCACAGTAAAACCCAGCAATATATCATGTATCTTGGATCATAAAGATCAATCAGTGGAATCTTTCCCAGACTGCTTCACATGCAACTGGCAGCATCAGATTGATCCTCCACAGAAAATAAGCTACACTGTATTGTAGTGAGTGTTGTGTTTTCCTCATTTTGTGGAAGTACTATTGTGGGACCAATTCTTCGTCTCGTCAATTTGTGTACTTAATATCAAACGTGTTTCTTTCAGTGACTCGCCAGGCATGCACCGTGCTGAGATCTGCAAATCACAAATAACAAACTGTATCACCCCAGCTCGTGAAATATATGTTTCTAGTAATATCACTATTACTGTGAGAGCTGAAGCTGATACTTGGAAAGCTGACTCTGACCCTCATGAATTTCAACCAATTCACATATGTAAGTAACTTATAAATTATATTTCGAAATGACATGTTTGTGTTTTAACATAGCATGTTTTTGCATTTTAATGAGCCGCCGTATCCATTTTCCCTCAGTGAAAATGATCCGTCCGCAGTTACGTGTAACTCCCTCCTCTGATCACGTGTTTGTTCAGTGGAAACGACAATCGTTTTCAAGAAAGTGCAGCTGTGAAGTCAAATACAGCAAGGTACGTCCCTCTTTGATCACCTAAATGCAGCATTTGAGGTATTTCCCAGAAATAAAAGACGACATTCAATGACAGTGATCACAAATCAGAACACGATGAACAACAGTTGGACCAAAGATATTATAGAAATGAATCAGCACACCGACTGAATTGAACTGGATTGAGAGTTCTCCCTCATGCCAGGAAAAAAACAAAGTGTGTGTTATTTCACACAATAAAACCGTAGTGAATCTAGTAAACATACAGCCTACAGTTCATGTCTAAGAAGAGTAATCTACACGTACGTAATATGTACTATGTGGAATCGATTCTCATGTTTGCGACATGCAAACGTTCATGTAATTTGACATCTCAAGGCGGTTGTAGAAATGCAGAGTTTATAGTAGGACGGTTAAAAAGCACTGACATTATAATGCTGTATCCAATACGTTTGGATCAAACGACTTAAGTGAATCCATGTTTGTTTGGTTTTCAGGGATGAATATATCCGACGAGGTTCACTAATGGCTGTTTCCAAAATCACTCCCTTGTTCCCTCATTCACTCCTCCCCACTGGACTCTCAATGGTTTACTCAATAGAGAGCGGTACATTGAGATTTCTGACGCCTATCATCATTTTGCGTCATCGCTGACGTCTGTAGATTAGTGCAACTGTAATTCTCTTATCTATAAAATGCTATGCATAGTGGGATTGTTAGCAGAAGGTAAACAAGCCTGACATGGACACTACCTTATTGGGGAATTTGTAGTTAAATTTGGTTATTTAGTGGTTGAATTTACACAATCAGAATACTCCAATAAAATGGTGGACAGTAAATGTAGTGAACTATAGACCAGACCAGCATCAAGAGCCAATCGCCATGTGTCACATAATGAGAGAAGAAGAAATAAAATAAAAAAAATTCTAGAATCTTATATGAGGCACATAAGATACATACGAAGAAGAAGGGTCAAGGTTGCAAAAAGCTGATTTTGATTCTGATGTTTTTATTGGATTCCCCTTCATGACTAATAGATGCCGTTTGTTTTCCAGGCTGTTGATATAGGAGCTCCTTCAGTGGTAAGAGAAACCGACGTTTTCGTTGAAGATCTGTCTTGGTGGTATAATAATGCACTCAGCATTGGACCTCCTGGGACTTCTCAAGTATTTGAATGTATGTTTCTCACAGAAATCTTTCTTTTTCCCAGTTGAGGCGCATAAACCTTTCAGAGAATAGCAACGGGATGGATACCATTGAAAAGTGGGATTCCTGCAGTAACTACACATTTTCAGTTCGCTGTGCCCTCGACAAGGCTCCCTGGAGCGACTGGAGCGAGAACAAGACAGTTCTGACCAAACTAAACAGTAAGAGCAATGCAAACAGCTTCTGTACTGATAAAAGCAGTCTACTAAATCACCTTTGCACAAATAACGTTAAAATATCTTTCATTGATTTTGAGCTTTTGGATTTTATTTTTAGTCATAGTGAAAGGCCTGTAGAATATTAGTCCATTTAGGATTGATCACGTTAGTAGTTTGGAGATGTCTGTCATAAAGGAAATCTAGCTGCCACAAAGGTACCAGGAATCCTAATAACTACAGTCAGATAGTTTCCTGCCACACAACAAGCTGCGTGGCTCTAAATGTTACTGTGATTCTCATTGTTTTATTGATATACGTGCAAATAAACTAAAGATACAGACCATGTCAGGAATATCTCAAATGAGATCCATTTTTTGAAGTATGCCCACCAACGAGAAAACAAAACCTATCAGTATGACTACTCATGTTAGTATTCACTTCTGTGTTGTCTTGTGGAAATATTTTACTTCAATTTTTATTTATATTTAACTTAAACCAACAACGATTCTAAGCTAAATGATGGACTTGGTAGAAAAACGCCATTTGTGCAGCTGATGTTGCCTGGGGTTTTGTTTCAAACATATTTATTTGCAAACTTGTGTAGAAATGGTGAAAGAATGACATTCAGCGAGTGAAAACAGATCTGACACATTTGGGTTGCAGGTTGGGACTTGATTGGGTATATTTTAAGAAACAATGACTAAAAATGTGTGACTCGTATTTTAACACCATGTGTTGAAATTACTCTAGAGATCTGATAACGGCCTGGTGACACAGAATCAGGTGTTCACAGAGTTGAGGATTAATAGTTCACATCTGCTTTGCAGAGCGTAGCTCTATAACTATTGGTTGATCCGTGGAAAACCGAAAACACCCCACTGTTGTTTCCAGCGGTTACCATGAGCTCAAGTGTAAACAGTGGTCCTGTTTTCTTTAGTTTAGACCAAAACTGTTTAATTCACTTAGTTATCGTGTTGCTGTGTCATCATATTTCTGTATGTGTGATTGTTTTGAACTACAGAGAGAGATTTCAAGCTGTGCCTGTGGAGAAAGGTGGCTGAACCAGTGGGGAATGGAGTTAGAAAAGTTCATGCCATGTGGACAGTAAGGAAGCCTTTAAATATACACTTCCATCATTTCCAAACTCATAATTCAGCTTTACAACCTACATTTGCAAAGAGACACACTCCTTGCGTTACTTATTAATCTAAAGTGCTTCAAACTGTCTACGCAGGAGATTCCTTCAACATGCCAAGACACATTTACCTACACGATCAAAGTGACTCCCTCCAAGGAAGCCATGGTGGGAGTAAACTATACGGATACTTTATGTGACAACTCAACTTGTGATGTTTACGTGAACCAAGATGCACACAGAATACAACTCGCAGTCCTCTATAATGAAGCCCTGCTTGTGGAGGACTCTGTCTATGTTCCAGCCGTTGGAGAGAGTGAGAGCGAGGCTAACCCACAACTCATAGATCAAATTGCTTCATTTTAATGGGCTTCGCCCTGATGCATGGTTGTGATTTTCAATGAAGCAATTTGCTTAGTTTCACTTGATCTCACTTGGCAGGCCTCCCTCAAGTTACCGACATCCAGACCTCAACACTTGAAGGCATTCTTCTGGTCAGCTGGAAAGCTTCAACTGAGCCTGTCACTGGTTACATGATTGACTGGACACACGATGGAAATCAATACTATTGGAAGGAGAGCAACTACACTAATACAACATTGCCTGGTAGGTTAGAGAACAGACACTTTATGGTCGTAATATCAGTATCAGTACGATTACAGCAATCCACGTCGTGAGTCATCATCAAGCCCATGCTGTGAGACTCCACATGTTTTACCATCACATCAATTTGTGTCTTATCTTTCATCATCTGGGTGTGGAAAATAATGGATTATATAATAATGGAATAATGGAAACAATCGGCACCTTTGCGTCGTCGGATTTATAGACCAGCAGTGTGGAAGTGAGAGAGGAGCCAGGGCTTGAACTTCTCTCTCTCAAACTCTATTTTCTAACAGCCGACTAAAATGAGGATTGTTATCCCCATGTATGTACCATGTTGATGTTTAGCGTGTTAGCGGTTAGTTAGCGGTTAACACAAAATACATTTGCTGCTGATGGGAATGTCATACAAAAAATTGGGACAAATCAACACTTTGACCTGATGATGACGCTAAATTCAAAGCATATATGGATATCACCAAAGTCATTACAATACAGGATTGTATGACATTACATGTGTATTGCCTAACACCTGCTTCAAAGAGATAGGGGTCAGCATTTCATCTCCACTACTTGGTCCATACAATCTAGATTGACAGGCATCAGTCTAACCCGTGTAACAGCAGCTGCTGAAGGCTCTGCTCCCGATGAAACAGCCTCATTACAGACATTGCACCTTTAACGTCACACCAGTTTCATTCTAATGTTGTCGAGACATTTCACACAAAAAAACAACCACAAAAGTCAACCTTGTGGTGGCACTATGGGAAAATCTAGGGGATCCCCAAAGCCAGTTAAACATCCTCTGAGGACCATGAATGTCATTACAAAATGTCATGACAATACATGTCTTATTTCAGTCTGGTCCAAAGTGGTGGACCACCTGACCGGCCGACACTTTAATGTGTTTTAACAATCACCTGCCACTTTTCCCCTTCCTTACAGACCATAAGCAGCCATACAATATTACAGTAACTCCCCTCTTTGATGACGAGACAGGTCATGGCACACAAGCCCTTCAGATCTGCTCCAGAGTAGGAGGTGCGTCATTCCGATTTCTTTTTAATGATCCTGAAAAGGTTTCTTTATTTTCATGACTGATTTTTAAAAACGTGGTCCCCACAGATCCGGGAGATGTCACGATCCAGGTTCAGGAGGACGCCAAAGGTGCCCTTGTGAGCTGGAATGTGAAATCCCAGGAGGCATGCAGTGGTGTTGTTGTCAACTACACCGTCTTCTATGGAATACAGAACGGACCACAGCTCAGTAAGTCCACCTCAGACTTGTTTGAAGTTCCCAAATGAGTTGCTGTTCCTCCCTATGACATTTCAGTTTTCTTCTAGACGTTCCTGTAGATGGCACAAAGCACTTCATCTATTTGAACAATCTGAATCCAGACACCTATTACAGCGTCCAAGTCAATGCCACAGCTCTTACTGGAACTGCCACAAGCCGTGAGACGCTCTTTCAAACCAAAAGGTTTGGTGAGTACTCCGTAAGGGCTAAGACAAACATTTTACACACATTTGAGCCCTCGTTCTATGAGCGCAGCTGCTGGATGTCCTGAGGAATTGCACTTAGGGGAGCTACAGTGTGGACCTTTAACCCTTCATTTTCATGAGCCCAAGACTTTGCACGGTGTGACTCGCTAGAACGTTGAGAGGCCTGCACTCGTAGAACTAGGGGTACGATGTGCAACAATGTTATTACACACAGTCGTCTCCCTCTGTTGGGTTATAGGTTTAGAGTAGCCCAGGCCAACACTGGCACCAACACAACATAGTAGTGAAAATGTCACGATCCTTAACATGTCCATGACCGTGAAGGCTCCACCACCTGACAGAACTGTCATGTTTAGAGGAATGGGCCCTCAAAAATTGAGAAATTCCGCCACGATGGCATCACTTCTGGGGAAGTGTTTAAATGTGTTCACCTTCAGGAGTGGATTGTTCTTGCAAGTCTGGAAGAGCCTGGAGGTATTTGGTGTTTACTTTGGTTACCTTGGTGTTTTAACACAAACAGATACGTCCCTCGTGTTGCATGCAGGCTTTGGCATGTCGGTTGGAAGGTACAGCCTGCTGAGATTCTCACAGCAGCTGCCTTCCTTTGAAGAGATACTATGTCATCTGTTACCATTGTCCTGTACTGTCACCTGTGGCTACAGTAGCTGCTGTCCTGGAAAAGTTACATAGTCTTCATAGTTCAAAGTTAGCTTTATTGTCATTTCCACAATATGTACCGAACATACCGAGGAGTTGAAAAAACGTTTCTCCCAGTCCAACATATAAACATATAAAGTGAATGCAGTGCAAATAGATAAAAAAATCATTTAGACAATATATAATTTAGCAGCAGTCGGACATAGAGTCTTAAGAGAGAGGAGGGAGAGAGTTCAGCTTCCTAACAGCCTGGTGGACGAAGCTGTTTGAGAGTCTGGTGGTGCGAGCACGGAGGCTCCGGTATCTTCTCCCAGTCTTGCTTTAATCCAGCCCGGATCTGGCTCAGATGCAGTAATGTACCGCATGCATTACATGGCGTTCTAGAGAAATGAGTCATTTTCCCAGTTCAACAAACTAATATGCAACATAATTTATTCTTTCTTCCGTAGATCTGCAGCTCATCACAGCAGTCGGTGTCTCCGGAAGCATCGTTATACTTCTTGTGTTATCCCTTGGAGTATGCTGCGCTGTTCGGTGAGTTTCAATCTTTTATTGTCACTAATGATGTGATACGGATTGATTTCATAAGATTAAGCTGAACCAAGAACATTTCCATGTCAGCAGTAATAAAAGACATATTGTACTACATTAAGCATCACATTTTGACCAGAAAATCTTGAAGAATTGTGTCCTAATGCTGCTTTTAATCTTCTTTTTTTTAGATTGAAGAAATTCAGGAAGAACCCAGTGCCTAACCCGGCTTTCAGTTCATTGGCGCTGTGGCAAGCACCGAGTCATCAAGAGGTGAACTCAGCGAGCAGGGAATTACATCCGTTTTAAAGTGGCTGAGGGAGTGAGACGATCCAGTTCTAGGTCATTTGTGGTCCGGGAGGAAAATATGAACAGGTGGTCGTCATGAAAACGGATAGATGAATCCCAGTGGAGATTTTGAACAGACACCAAAAGAAGTCTGCTCAAGATTATATTGTCTCTAAATTAAGATTATACATTGATTCATTCAAACAGTTATTTGATGAATTATAATGGACATACAGTATTCCACTATTTTGTGTAATTGTTTATTTGAGAAAACAATGAAAATTATTATTAGTTGCAGCTCCACTTCAAATTGTGATTCTCAACATGAAGATCCAAAGCATTTGGACGTATTTCACATTTATAAATGTATTGAGTCTAAAAATACTGGAATCAGCCTTTGTGTATACAAATATGATTCTGTAACCAGGGTATTATCTCCTGAATAATCCACTTTCTGTGTGTTTTTGTGTGGATGTGTCCACAGGGAACGTGTCCCTTCCAGCCATTCAGCAATCCTTCAGAAAGCGTCTGTGACAGGGTTTACACAGGGGAAACCCAGCGAACGCCCACCTCTCCACTCGCTACAGGCTGTGATGGTAACCCAGCCTGTGACCAGACAGGGGAATACGTCGACCCAGCCACGGGCCCAGCGCTAGTAGACCCAGTCGAACCTGAAGAGACACAGCATCTATCTTCTCCTGATGACTCCACAGCCCTGCTTCCTTCGGAGAACAGCCCGTATCGAAGTCAGTCTTCTGCAGAAAACTCTGCCTCGAGGTTCAATAAACAATGTAAGCGTGCTCAAGTGAAACAGACAGAAAAGATAGCACCCGTGACGGTTTACGTCACTTTGGACATGTTACAACAAGACCAGGGCAGGTGAGGGAAATGAAAGCAAAACAATATCAACATTCCGAAAGCAAAGACAAGTCAATGAGCTCCAAATAAAACAGACGTGGTTTAATCTTGCTAAAGACTTCCATGATTGAGTGTGGCATGTTCTTGCCTCACAATGTGTCCACTGTGGAGTGAGAGGAAAGAAGAATGATTGTACTCTTATGTCAGACTTCATAAGCCAGGTCATAAATGCTATGTTTTGTGTAAATAGAATTGTGCTACTGTCTATTTATTGATACCAATATATAGTATTTATAACTAAACAATGTGTGTAGCTGCTTTATTAAGTCAACTTAATGTCTTTTGCTGAGATAATTATATAGACATAACTGTATATCCATAACTGTATTTGGCAACTTTTTTTGATCTGATTTAATGCAAAGTTGATAAAAAGGATTAATTTTTGTCTTCATCTGCGACATAATGTGGACCATTCCGAACTCTTGATGTAGATAAAATTCATTTTATAGAGCAATTGGGGCACACATTATGGGGTGGAAATGATGGAACAAATATGTAGCCTACATGTACAGACTGTATAATATTATATTACAAAGCACAAGTTTGTCCGAGCAGGCTGAGGATTTATGTAAATGGTGAGAATATCGTTTTGTAAAAGTCGTAATATTGCCTTCAATAATAATTCATTTTCATATGTTTCCTGTTGTTATTAGTGATACCTGCGCTTGTTAAAACAGTAGTAAACTGCTTGCTTGACACTGGAAAGATGTTACTCATTGCAATTATTCCTGTACAACTTGGCATTGAATCTTAACAATGACATGTATAAGCTGCTTAATTGTAGAGCATTTATTGTTTCACAGCAAATTTTAAATATGCATGAGATAGTATAGTGTCTTTTTGGTAGAAAATGGGGCACAAAATGCTTCAGAACTGCACTCAAGCTGTTTACAAAAATTATCTAATGCATCATCATGTATTTAAATGAATGTTTATATATTACATTTGTTTAATGGGTCAAACTGTATAAATTACCAATGGACACTGCAACATGTAATGTATATTCACAAAGTAAATGAGTTTGAAAACTGGCATGGGCTTTATGATTTATTTTTATTGAACATGCAACAACAACAAAGATAACCAGGGTTTATCAAGATATTAAGATTGGCAAAAAAATAACTAAAGTACATGCATTTTGTGTTTTACAAGCTGTCTTGTTATTGAAGTACAAATGGTTTTAATGTGCTGCTTGTAATCAATTTGAAAGATAAAGGATGATGTCTTGATATAATATACATTTATCAATGGGCTAACAATAAAATGAATTAGTAATACAGTACTACTAGGTTTTAACAGAGTGGTAATTGGCATAAAAACAGTAGCCTACATGTTAATAAGGATGGGGGATATTTGTGTCGATATGTTGATTTATAGATATAGGCCTACTTTGTTACTGTTACACACCCTTGCACGTCTTTTTTTCTATCTATTTAGATTGGGGATGAGTGGAAAAAAACACATTAATCTTCTTCTTATGTATTTATGTTTTTGTAGAAAAGACTACGGAGAGTCGATAAACAATCCTAAAAGATGCTTTATGAATTTCGTACGTTGGTGCAATTCCTCGTATAGGCCAGCAGGTGGCAGTATGGCGCGGGATGTCTCTCTGAACTACAGACATTAACCAGTAGTAGAAGGCTCGTTTGGTGACTGGAGTGACGTTATGCTAGCTAATTGCTAACTATCTGGATTTCAGGAAAACAGACTAAAAAGATGACATCATTTTGGGGATGCTAATCATCCGCGAGGTGCAGTAACCTATGTTTCGTGTAATTACCTGCCGGCCCGTCATAAAGTTGACTGCAGGCGTGAATTTGTCGGATGATTCTCCTGAATTAGTAGCTGAAGGGCCCTTAGTCCACGGTGCTTGGGTGAACGACAACCCGGGGATCACCGCCTTTTGAGCGAGGGAGCATTGAGGTTTTAGTTATTATCAGCGACATACTGCACTAAAGCCTCTTCTGAACATGTCACACACCGGACCCCCTCCTCGATGGCGGAATTGTCCCAGAAGAGGACAACCTGTGGCAGGTGAGAAGAGACAACACAACGTTAGATTAAGTACTTTAATCTACGCAGTGCTAGTGCTACAAGCTACGCAATTTAGTGCAACTTCTTCGCATAAAACATGCTGGTTGAACAATCGCTATGTCTTTTCTAATGATTTTTAAATGTCCAAACGTCATGATATAACAAGCAGCACTAAACCAGGTATTTCTGTGTAGTTCCAGTCATTCATACATGGCGAGGCTAGCATCACAACATAGTGACGTTGTGCGAGCAATGTAGTCCAAATTAATCCTCCTTTTATTTAAATTAAGCGATAGTTGGTATGAACTGGGATGCCGACATCACTGGATGACATCAATGCACTACAGAAGCTGAGACATCATTTAAATTATAGGTACAGTGTCCTGTTGTAGCGAGACAGAATTAGTTAGCGACATTTTTAAACGGAGTTTGGTTTGGCGCTTTGTTTAGCTAACTTGGCTCCAGTGGCTAACGGGGTGGTGGAGCAATGCCCAACTCCAAGGAGTATATTATAGTATATATCGCAATATTAGTGAATAACTGTGATTTAATTCTGAACAAAATATTAATTTGTGTGTTTGTGCTTCGTCCGTTTATTTCCCGCTAGAAACAGTGCATCAGAAAAGTGCTAGCATCGCTGTCGAAGCATCACGTGTCAAAACAAACGGTGGCTGTAGCATGGTTGTGCATGATGCTGCGTTGTGGTCGCTATCCATTAAAGCCATGTGTATGTATGTAACATGTGTAACAACATGCCTATGCTATATATATATATATATAT